CAGGACAACCAATTTATTGACGGAGAGAGTTTGACAAACCTCCATGTGTTCCTTTGATGCAAACAATTTTTAACTTTGGAGATAATTTGTAATCAATGTCAAACAACCAATAATAAACATATTAAACTTATTTTTAAATAATATATACATATCAATATAATTTTGTCATTTTATTTTCAGTTTTTATCTTTATTAATTGCAATTATTGTAGTACACTACTACTGCAGTGATTTTGCTTTTGTAATTTTTATTTACTTATGTTTAGATTCATCTCATTACTGCTTAATCAAAAGCATTAAATAATAACTTTAGGTTGTCTGTCAATTAATTAATGTGTCTCACTGCCAATAAACAAGTCAGTTCGATATGTAGTTTATTTAAAAATCAAATAGAAAGTGTATAGGACATTTATTAATGAGAACTTAAATAACTCCATGGTTCTAGATGCAATTAACTTTAAAATTTTTAAAATTCAATGAATGACATTTTTATTAAATATAAATAAACGACAATACATTTGAAGCAAAATACAATTTAATTATTTTTATTAGAACGTTTTTCTATAAACACACAGTATTTGTATGAACCAATACTTATTTTTACAACATTTAATTGTGGAGATATATTAATAATATTGTGAGTTGATGAGATTACACATAAATAATATTTATAACTTTAATTATTATTTGTTTGTTATTATTTACTAAAATACCCATGTATGCGTTCTTCGTTGGTCAATCATTTTTATCATACAGCTATTAATTGTAATTGTGTATAATTATGGTGACCAAAATGTATATCAGAAAGAATAAATATGATAATATATCGCAATAAATAGATATGTATAACACAATGTTAAGAGAATTTTGCTTTTATTTTTATTATTTTTACATATAAACAATTATATATTAATGTGATTAGAAATTAATATCATTTACTTTTTATACCAGAAAGTTCTGAATAAATATTAATAATAGGTACTTGCATTAAAAATGGGAGACACAACAATTGACCTTGAGGTGAATTTAGAACACACATTACTACTGCTATTATTAGAAATGTATACATATAGACAGCAATGATAATTTGCAAAATTACGTAGAAAGATATACTATAATATAGAGAGATATATGGCGACATACACCTTTCTAACGTTTGGCATGTCTTCCTATAATGCATTTATCCCGTTGCATACTACACATGTACAACTTCCCTTTACGCCAACATTGTACGCGGTCGGATTACCTGTCTGCAGGTTTAAATGCGTTTATCTTACTTTACACATTGATAACTGATCTATATTTTTATGCGCTCATCAAATACCGTTTGGCGGCAAATATGTATCATACACCAAGTGATGACTGATAGTTGACCTCAATACCTTTTTCGGAGTTTATTTTAAACAGGAAAAGTACCGGGCAAACCACGGAAATGACCAATTGCCCAACAGTCTCGGAGATGACTGATACTCCCAGACACCCATACAACGCTGCCTTCCTTAATGATTTATTCATTTCTCCATACACAAAGTTATCAGGGCGTTATGGCAAGCTACGGGACAAGGTGTGTTACACCTGTGAATTTAATGAAATAACCGACCACTAGACGCTCGAATTGGACTTTTATATATACTTTTATTATTACTTACGCGTTTAAATTTAAAACGACACCGCCAAAGTGTAGAACCACCAAATCAGAGGTATCAACCAACGTCTCAAATTTCGTTATCACTGGTTTCGCCTACTAGAATTTTCTAACTGCGGTATTCTAAAGTCCTGTCTCCGACCTAGGAAATTCACTTCAAACGATTTTCAGCTACCTAGGGTATTCACATACAGCGAGTTTTACCGACCTAGGGTATTCACATACAGCGAGTTTCACCGACCTAAGGTATTCACTTACAGCGAGTTTCACCGGTGCTAGTATAAAATCATAAAATATACTATAGTATGATACTATGATATTATTATTTTAGTATGTTCAAAACATGAATGTTGAATTGCGTAGCACACATTTCTGTACGGTCGTACGGACTACGGGAATACCAAGAAGTAACAATATTATCTTGATAAGAATTGTAATAATCTAATTCTATAAATAATGTAGTAGACCGTCGCGCGTCGCGTCTTTGCCCAATATTGTCGATTATGTAAACAGTTTACTACTTTACTGTTTACGTTTACCGTTTACTACAGTACCAATACCCATTACGCACCGTACGATGACTGATCCAAAAATTAAATTAGTAAGTTTTTGTTTATAAAACAGGTATAAAAATTTTTCATACAAATTTACAATAAATTTCAATTAAATATAAACAAATATAAGCTTATCCATAATAATCAGTACCTAATTTAAATATTTTTAGGATAAATAATATATATAAAAATCTCCCATTATAAAAAACTAGTATAAAGTTAACTAATACAACTATTTTTCAAAAAAAGAATGTGTAAGTTCTATAATAACTGCCTTGTCTGTACTAACAGGAATCATGAAACATTTATTTTTTATTTCATTAAGAGATATTGAAAAACATTCTGAAATTATTAAATCTATTAAAAATGAACCCAACACTGAAGAATCGATGAGAGGGGTTATATATAATGAGGTGCAATTTAAAAATCTTTGTACAATTAATTTAGTATTCGATTTATTTAAATCTGATTGTACTATATGTTTCACTTTGACAATATAATTATTTTTTAAGCTTACATATTTATCACTTTCTTTTATAATATTTATTTTTATGCCTAAATCATTTATAACAATTGTTTTGTAAAGCTTATCTGTAGGGTTGAAATGTACTGAAGACATACGGTTTTCTATTTCTTTTTCACATGATTTAGAATACTCTAATTCTAGTGGGTCTACTAAGAACAATTTTTGTTTTTCACTAATCCTATTAAAAACTTCTTGAAGACAATATCTAGAAGATTTTATTGAGAATTTTATTTCCTGTAGATAATTTTCATATTTAAAACAACTGAAGTTGTCTAGTGAACCATGAATTTTAACAAACATGGGGAGATGTAATAAACTATGTATGTTATAACTGTTATAAGATATCAAGTGATCTCCATATAAAGTTGAATATTGAGTAATAAAGTTTTTAAAAAGTGTTTCAGCCAACTCATTGTGAGTTTGGCATGTAATATTACTTATTAATAATTTAACACCAGAAACTAATAACACGAAATGAGTATAGAAAGATTTTTTTTAATTTTCCTTTTAAAACTACTTGACCAGAATAAAGTAAGAAAAATCGTAACTCAGTAGCTTTCCAGTAGTCTATATCTTCTAATACCCGTGGTTTGTGGCTAAATTCTGAAGGAACATAAGGTCTAAGAGCTAACATGTCTTTTGATATATTTAATATATGTTCTTCGGTAAGTCTAATATTCTTCTTCCCTTTAATCCAAAAAGAAATTAAACGTTTTGTAATTCCTAATTTCTATACATAAAAGGTGCATATAATCAAGGCATACATCATTAATAATATCTATAGGTAAAAATTCAAGAGGACTGTCACCCTTATGGTATTCCTCATGAACTTTATTGCGAAATGAGTCATTGGTTCTAAGAGGAGCGTCAATTTCAGGAAAACTCATTCTATGTTGAATGTATTCACCTTCTTGAATACAAGACGAACACCCAAAATAAGCATTATGTGCTCGTACATTTAACAAACAATTTTTGGCAGGAGTATCACATATTATGTGTCCTATCTTAAATTTAAATAATCTATTATTTACAGATATACCACTTTGTAATATTACACAAAGGTCGTCTACAAATGGTTGAAAGAATTCATGAGCGGATGTTGGTTTTGTAGTTCCGTGAAAAATCCCCACTGGAAGCACATACTTATTAATTGACGGACAATTAATAACTGATATTAAAATAGGCCAAAGTTGGCTTTTAGAGCTATTTGAAATTGGAAGTCCATCTACATTTATACCTATACCCGTAGCGCCGAGAGAGCGCAAGTCGGCCGCGCATCCAAATGAAGTCGCTCCGCGATTTCTAGGTTTAATTTCTCCCACCAAGTTGACTGGTCGTACGCCGTCAACCATCCAGCGCTAACGACTGTTATCGTACAGTTCACGTCAATTATCAATTATTACTTTATTGTATATTTTTGTAATCAATTTATCATTTTTTATTTTATAAAAACGAATACATTTTTTAATTATTATTTTTTTATTATTTACAATATTATAATATATTGCATACACATAATATTTACAAGATAAAATACATCGCATACAAAAATACTATTTACAATATAATACATTATACACATAATATTTACAATATAATACATCATACACATAATATTTACAAGATAAAATACATCGCATGCACAAATACTATTTACAATAAAATACATTATTACACATAATATTTACAAGATAAAATATATCATCTTCGCAACTTAGGTTAGTTGGTCATCATCAGAGTCATCAAAGTCGTCAGACTCGGAATCGGAAATGTTTCCGGTAATGGTTAAGACATGTTGGTACGAGGTTTCCCCTTCCAATATGTCATCGGTGATAAAGTCGATCTCGCATAACTTCTTCTCCTCTTTAATAACGTGGCTTATAAAATTTTTCCACATGTCGGGTGAAACTCGTTCCACGCCTTCAACCAACAATTGTTTTACATCTTGTAATTTGAAAGTTGTATTGTTCATTTTCACGTATTGTTTTATAGAGGACCACGCCAACTCTATAGGGTTTAATTCGCAATGATACGGTGGAAGCCTAAGTACAATTATATTTTTGTTTTTCGCCAATTCGTCAATAACGTACTTGTTACAATCCACTCGAAATTCTTGTGCCTCTTCCAACAGTCGATCTTTTACCATTCGTTGATCTATTATATTTCCTCTAATTGTCAACCATTGAATGATTTTTTCCTTTTTCCACGAAAGTTGGGGAAACGTTTCTTTTTTAACCGAATGGTACGGCGCATTATCCATGACAACTACGGCATTTTTTTTTAGTAGTGGTAAAATGCTACTAAACCAGTCATAGAATGTGTTGCCGTTCATTTCGTCGTGGTAATCATTTGTATTTTTTTTTTATTCAAAAACCAAGAGACCACCTGCAACGAAACCATCAGAGGATCCTATATGGACAACAATCAATCGTTTACCTTTACCAGGCGGATTTTTTTGTCCAGTAGTTAGCCCACTTATATATGCGTCATGATGTGATTTTATTGTTGTATCGACCCACGATTTTGAAGGCGTTTCCCCAGCGTTAACCCAAGTCTCAACTAGGTAGTAAATTAGATGACCTTTGCTGCGATAAAATTTAATTTTTTCCAAATACCTTTGTCGCCAGCAGATTAAATCGCTTCGTTCAGTGTTGCGAGTTTTTTTAGTATAAACGAAATTTAAATCTTTTAAAACTTTACGTAAAGAAGTGTATTTTAAATTTGGTAAATTAAGATCATCATTGATAGCAGTAAGAATTTTTTGCAATGTTGGTATTTCTTATCTAAACCAGAAACTATGAATTTTTTGCCGAATAGCATTTTTGTCAAACTCGTCAATTTTTTGAGTAATTGTTAGTCTTATTTTATTTTTATTAGACGAAGAAATTATACCTTTTTTTTTTATATTCCGAGATCGTTGTTGAAATCGTACGTTGTCCAATACCAGTATAATGTGAAATGAATTTAATGATGTCATAATACTTTGGTCTTTGCTCAACTGGCAGATTGGCTCCCTCCATCTTTTTCATTTTGTACATATTAATAATAATTTCTTTTTTTTGGCTACCAACAAACTACAAAAAATGTTTGATATTTGTAAATAAATTATGATTTAATGTGTTGTATAATACGATAATATAAATACATAATAATTAAGGCTCGGAAGTTGATGCATTTTGCTTTTTTTTTTTTTGGAACTTTTTAGACGATGCTCTCCTGGCCACAAATCTGTTTCATAAGCATGTGAATCTAAATAACTAATTTTTATTTTGCAATTTTTGGTGTTTATTAATTTTTAAGTCATTTTTTGCCATTTTTATGGTCATTTTTTATTGTTTTTAAGGTCATCAAATTCCGAGCCCTAATAATAATATACTGTGATAATTAATTATATTAAATTGTGCTTACCTTTCCACATGGATTTTTTTTTATTGGTGAAATACCAGCAGGATTTACAACTTCCATTTAAAAAAATTTTAATACAGTTAAAAAAAAATGCAATATAATAGATTAAATCGTATACTGTGTATCGACAAAAAAACGTGTTTATCGTCGAATCACTTAATGAAATGGCTACTGTTTACGAATTCACGGTAATTATCGAAAAAACGTGGTTATCGTCTTATCGCTTATCTCAATGATGTGGTTACCGTTTACGAGTTCACGGAAATTAACTAAAAAACGTGGTTATCGCAAGGTGGGGGATACTGTTTACGAGCCACGACGACACGACGCGCGACGGTCGACGATGTGAGCCGATCATCCGACGGTGGGAGTCACGTTGGTGGGAGATGCGCGAACTACGACGAGTTTTGGTCGCTGCCGACTTGCGCTCTCTCGGCGCTACGGGTGTAACTTTAAATCTTCTTCACAATTAATCATATTAACATATTTTTTCAATACTGGAACTAACATATTTTTTATACCACAATGAATATATGATCCATGACCCATTACAACTATTTCTTGTGGTATTGTAGGTGTTTTCATTAAAGTACGCACGTCTTTCGGAACATTTAAACCTTCACAATTTAAAATATCAAGAAGAGAGTTAGTAGTGTTGCGTCCCTTATGTCAACGTCGATTCATATATCAACGTAAAAATAGAAATACTAATGTTTGCAAGTTAAAAGATTAAGTCTTTATTTAATACAATTAACTCGTACAAGAATACAATTTTATAAGCACAAGATGGTGTGAGTGGTGTTACGACCTGCCTCTGAAATACTGATAGACGAGACCGTGAGTGGTGTTATGACCTGCTTCTGAGCGTCTCGAATATCCCTAACCGTCTGCTGAGCTCTTGCCCTGGTCTCCCTTATATATGGTTAATCGTCAAGAGTGGTGACTGAAGAGGTGGCAACTTCCGATGACCTAAAGGAGCTCTCTAAATTAAATGTATTATTCAGTTGGGTGCCTTTCCTGCGATTTCATCGGTTCTACGAATTACAAGACGTGTGATCAAGTCTTAATTGTCAAATTAAATAGTACAATGTTAACACTGTTGTTTACTCATCATTTCTGAGAAGTCCAAGACGTGTGACCATGTCTTATTCATTATATTAAATATCACGATGTGCAGGTGTTCGCCTTATCGGTTGGTGCTACACTGTTTGAATATATTATCCCATCGGTATACGCGTCATCTCTCCGTATAATATATATGTGTAAAATAACACGGTACGTAACACTATGGTTAGTTACATTAACGGGTTACCTAACGAAATAGAATTTGAAGTGAAAACTAAAAATTCAAATTCTCTTGACCAAGCAATGCAAGTAGCATTAGTAGCAGATAAAAATATACGAACATATAATAATGTACAAGATATTTTTAGAGCAACCCATAATGAATACAATAAGCAATAAACAATAATTATAACAGTAACCGATGGGATAATATATTCAAACAGTGTAGCACCAACGGATAGGGCGAACACCTGCACATCGTGATATTAAATATAATGAATAAGACATGGTCACACGTCTTGGACTTCTCAGAAATGATGAGTAAACAACAGTGTTAACATTGTACTATTTAATTTGACAATTAAGACTTGATCACACGTCTTGTAATTCGTAGAACCGATGAAATCGCAGGAAAGGCACCCAACTGAATAATACATTTAATTTAGAGAGCTCCTTAGGGTCATTGGAAGTCACCACCTCCCCAGTCACCACTCTTGACGGTTAACCTTTAGTGACGCGCGCGGGGTAATTATTTACCCCAGTCTATTTTTAAAATGCTATCAAATATTCGTTGGTTTTTCCACACTCATTCGGGTCATGCTATCTTATAGTCACTATCATACAATCATAAAAACGTAACAATCTGGATTTAATTACAATCAGTACGTGAGTAATCGTTGACTAAATTGGTTGTGTTTGTAGTTCGGTAAAAATTTTCCCCGCGCGCGCTTATTTTTATTAAATTATAGTCGTTTTTTGTAAGTATGGACGAATTAGAACGCCGTCGTATTGCATGCCTATTGGATGACATAAGTGACGAGGAATTGTGGGGTGGTACATCTTCCACTGACGAATGTTCACCCGATGAACATTTTGATGTATTAGAAACTTCGAACACCGAACAATCAGGAGAATCGACCGATGATGAGATTCACAATGATATTCAACAAACACTATCAGCAGATTGCGAATCTTATCATGAATCTGACGATGAAATTCCACTAAGTATGCGTGTAGAGTGTTTTTATGGAAAAGATGGGACAAAATGGAATCGTCGTAAGCCAAATCTGAGAATAAAAAATCCAAGTTACAATAAGATAACTGAAAAACCAGGTGTGACTAATTTGGCAAAAAATGCAAAAACTGAAATTGACGCGTGGTATATTTTTTTTACGGGTCCTATGATTGAACATATAGTGTTCTGTACAAATATATATATCGATAAAATTAAGTCAAATTTTACCAGAGAAAGAGATGTAGCTCATACAACAACACGGGAAATAAAAGGTTTACTTGGTTGCTTGTACATGATTGGTAAGTAATAATAATTTATATTATAGTTTTATAGTTATAATAATTATAAATTTGTATACGTTACACATCTTGTAATAAATTATTATATGATACTGTCCTGCTAAGAAAAGTTCCGTAAAAACCAATATATAAGTTTTGAGTAAAATTCAGTTTCGTATTTTTCATTTTTTTATACCTATATAATATTATATTATTATTATTATATAGAATTTTATTGTGTAATTATTTTCGTCAGTCGTCGTCGTTCTTATCGTTGTATTTTGTTATGTAATATTATATACATAATATATAATATATAGGTAGTTGTTTATTTATTTATTTATCATATTTCTGTTATTAGGTGCAATAAAATGTGGTCATAGAAATGCTCGGGATTTGTGGAAATTAGATGGAGTAGGTGTAGATATTGTATCATGTGTTATGTCAGAAAAACGGTTTGAATTTTTATTGCGATATATACGTTTTGATGACATAAGAGGACGCGAAGAAAGAAAAAAGTTTGATAAAATAACCCATGTGCGATGGTTATTTGAAAGTTTTATACTACAGTGTAAACAGTCATATAGTTTATCCGAGTTTGTCACTATAGACGAAAAACTCCAAGCCTTTCGTGGTCGATGTTCTTTTAGGCAGTACATTCCATCCAAACCTGCTAAATATGGTATAAAAATTTTTGCTATGGTAGATAACATTTCATATTTCACCAGTAATATGGAAATTTATGCCGGAAAACAACCTGATGGTCCATTTAGTATTGATAACAGTCCGAAAAATGTTGTTCATCGTTTGATACAACCTATTAGGAATACTGGAAGAAACGTGACAATCGATAACTGGTTTACTAGTGTTCCGCTCGCAGATGAATTACTGAATCAAAAACTCACCTTACTTGGTACCCTTAGGAAAAATAAAACTCAAATACCACAGGAATTTAAAATCACGAAAAATCGCCCTGTATTTAGTTCTTATTTTGGATTTAGTGGAAAAAAAGTTCTAGTTTCATACAAACCTAAAAATAACAAAATAGTATTACTATTATCCACAATGCACAATGATAATTCAATCGACAGTAGTACAGGAGCGGCAAAAAAACCAAACATGATAACGATGTATAATGCAACGAAAGGCTCTGTGGATACAATGGATAAGAAAACCGAGAATTACACTGTTGCACGGCGGTGTATGCGTTGGCCATTAGTAGTTTTTTATTCAATGCTAAACATCGGTGGACTAAACGCACAAATTATTTTCCAAGAAAATACTTCAATAAGAAAAACAAGACTTGTATTTTTGAAGACATTAGCTCGTCAACTAATGCAAGAACAAATG